ACCTGATTTAATTTTACTGCAAAAACTTGTGTTCATTTTCTGAATCACATGATTTTCGAAGCTTTTTCATTGGTAGTAGCCCCCACCAATAAAAATCACATGAAAAGGTTAGTGACACCGCGGGGACAATAGATCCATGTGGTACCGATCAGCCCAAGTCATTCAATGACTAAATTTCACTACAGACCAACAGCTCCTGTTGTACAGGTGTACAAACGAAACACTCTGTTCGCATTGTTACCAAATTGTAATGAGTGTTCTGTTTAAGTTGCTGATCATCGGCAATTCGTCTGTCGGAAAAACATCGTTTTTATTTCGTTACTGTGACGATTCATTCACATCAGCATTCGTATCAACAGTAGGAATCGATTTCAAGGTAAGAGCAGTTTATTTTGGAGCAAAAACTCAATACCTGGAGCGAATTTTTAGGTCAAAACAGTTTTTCGAGGAGACAAGCGTGTGAAGCTACAAATATGGGTGAGTTGTGTTTGCATAATCATAGGTCAATTTATTTATTTTTTTGCAAATATAGATTGTGTGTAGGTTCGCTGTCTTCCAAATCTGTTTTGATCCAAAAAGCTGTTTTATCCCAAAGATCGTGATTATTTGAAAGTATCTCCTCAAAAATCTATATTTTATTCCTATAATATATAGTCTATAAGCCTTTATTCTCACTAATAAATCGTTCCCGTTTGGTAACTTATGCTCAAGAATTCCATCATTTTCCATTATCTGCAAGTCCGAGTCTTGGAAAGTATCTTTTTTTTTCTGCTGGTGAAATTCTAGAATTAGCTAGAGCTACATTCCAAGCTACCAACATCCTTTGGAGAATTTTTTGCAATCCTGCTAAGCAGATTTTTTTTGAAAAAAGGTTCTATCCAGATTTTTCTTTAAGATAAGGACATTTAACACTTTGTCAATCACATTCCTGAAGCAATAGAGAATCAACAATATACTCAGAATTTGCCGAAAATATTCTTCAACTCACTAATAATCAATAGGTTTTTGGAATTCTGCTTTTTTATTTCTGTGCTGGAGGAAAAAAATTTAGTCCACAGCTTGTGGTCGTATTGCCGTTAGTTTTTTTGTGATAGAACAATAAATTTGAAATTTCTTAAATGCTCGATCTTGGCAGCCAAGAATCACTCAACAATATTGCATTAAAATAGATCCACTACTCTTCTATTCTAACTATCCCAACATGGAGTAATAGCATTGGGATAGTTTCAGCTAAACTGCTACTAAAATTTTGGCAGCTTTCATTTGATGGCAAAAGCTATCGTTGGCTAATTTCACCTTTGACGAATGTGGCACCTGAAAGGAAAATCATATAGGAGCTAACCATTTCTACACTGCAGCTATTTCGGGGTACTTTTTCGAGTTGTACTTTACGTTTGACTGCAAACTCAGCTAACTAATATTCGATATATTCGTTTTGTATGAAGTGGAGCATGTGCCTTCATTTTCGCTGCAGAAATTCTCAATCGTAAATTGAGGACTTGGCTTAGCATGCTGTTGATTTATATAACTCAGGCGGATGTGCAATTGGTATCTACTCCTTCGCAAGAATTAGTGTCTTCGTATGTTCATGATGCGGTGTGCATGATCATCTCTTAATCCCAGTGCTGTGCACATAATAGCCATCTCGAGAGCAGATAATAGTTGAGCAGCTAGGATGAGAATGTATGTAATTCCATGCCATATGTGCCCATGATTAGAAGCGGGCATGCAGATTCTAACCATCCTTCGGAATGTTCCGTTTTTCTGATTTATCGAGCGCTTTGCTCGAAAAAGGATGCTCAAAAGTGCTGAAATCGCTTTCCATTGTGAAGAGCCAAATACATATTCAGAAATTGCACTCTAGCTGCTCAACCAAGGACGTTGTATAGATAATGGACCAGCGATTCAGTAGTTCGTTAGGTTTGGAGTACATAGTTTCCACAATCAGTCCATTTACGTTCACGATGTACTCGTAATGCACTGAGTGTTTATGCACAATCAAAGCATCGTAGATCAAAAAGCTTACCTTCATTAAGATTGCAGATCTTTTGATTGATAAAGAAAAAAGGACCTGCCTAGGGGCAGAGCTGAAAGATAGAGGGTCGTAGATCAAAAAGTTTACCTCCAAAATTACTGCTATAATAATTTCGAATCATGGAAGAAAAATGAGCTGCTGACGGCGTTCTAACATGAAACTACATAAAGTTTAATTTAATAATTTGCAAACCGACAAGCAATTGAAAAAAAACCTAAAAATCGTTTACAGCAAACCATTCCTTAGACTAACATTTAACAATCCCCTTAATTTAGTTGCATGGAGACGAATATGTCGCGATGTTGCTTCATGAATTATAGATT